GTGGTAAGTTTTTTCTTTCTCTGCACTACTATAAGCACTCCCTTAAAACAAGTTTACTTCAGAGGTTTTAAGCCCGTAGTTTATGTTATTGTTTTTTTTTGTGAGAATTGCAGTTCACCTAACCTTTTCCTATCGTTTTTCTTGTTTATTGATCAGGACCTAGTAGGTTTAACCTCATGGGCAGTGCTGCACTCATGGATGCCATCTTCTTTGCTGTTTTTGCCACTGTACTTGATCTCAGTTGGGCAGGGTGGATACATCCCTTCGTTGCAAGCATTTGGAGCTGATCAACTACTGATTGAAGATGACATGGAATCTCTGCCAGCTGAACAAAAGAACCAGGTGAAGAGCCTGTTCTTCCAGTGGTGGTATTTTGGTATATGCAGTGGTAGCCTCTTGGGGAACTCCATCATGTCATGCATCCAAGACATGTTTGGTTGGGGTCTCGGATTTGCCATTCCTTGCGGCGTCATGGTCTTATCTGTCGTCGCATTCTGTTGCGGAACTCCTCTGTATATGTGCAACGAACAGAATACTGGCAACAGGCCTTCAGATAGCATTTTCAGAGTACTGAAAGAAATTGTTACATGTCTCATTACTCGGAAGGTCCGTTTACCGGCTAGAGATGATGATCATGACATTTCGGAGCTAGAGTAAGATTTTACTATAGTAGTCCGTACCTCAATTTCTTTTGTACTATTATATATGTTAATATGTTGAAATACAGATTAGAAGAGAAGGCGCTTAAAGATGAGTTCACTGATATGAAGGAGGCAAAAGATGACCATGACACTGCACCTAGCGTCACCAATGCCATCCTGAGGCTTCTGCCGATCTGGACAACGCTGCTGATCTTCGCCGTCATCTTTCAGCAGCCAATGACGTTCTTCACCGAGCAAGGGACACTGATGAACCACAAGGTCGGCAGCTTCGTGATTCCTCCAGCAATGCTCCAGAGCTCGACGACGATGTCGGTGATACTGCTCATGCCGCTGTACGACAAGATATTCGTTCCTCTGATGCGCGTGTTCACCCGGGAGGAGAAGGGGATTACCGTGCTCCAGCGGATCGGCATCGGTATGGTCCTCTCAGTCGCAGCCATGGTCACCGCCTCCATTGTCAAATCGAAGCGGCTCCATTTCGTCAGCGAAGGAGACGGCGCCACTCATCAGCTGAGCATATTCTGGCTGCTCCCGCAGTACATTCTACTGGGAGTAGCTGATGTGTTCACGGTCGTCGGAATGCAGGAGTTCTTCTACACGCAGGTCCCCAGCACCATGAGGACCATCGGCATCGCGCTCTACCTCAGCGTCTTTGGCTTCGGGAACTTCCTCGGTGCCTTTCTGATCGAGGTCCTCGAGACGATGACTGCAAGGACTGGAGAGGGACACGGCTGGTTCTCTGATGATCCACGGCAAGAACACCTGGATAAGTACTACTGGTTCCTGGCTTTTATCGGCACCGTCAGCTTTGTGTTCTTCACGTATCTGTGCAAGTACTACAATGAACCGGAGGCACCTGGGACTGGGAGATAGGCGCAGAGAGTCGCTAGTTGCCAGCATGTGTGCAAACGGTTAACAATGTCATCGCCAGTTCGAAACTTTACCTTAGCATCCAATAAACTGATTTCTCGCGTATCTGTGCAGTACTCATTGGAGCACCATCCCTATCTTTAGACATCAGGAGGCGAACTTTAGTTACCAATCAACAATATACACATGCCGGCAAAACAGAGCACGAGATTTGAAAACAATAAACGAATCATCAATAACTGAAATCCAAACATTAATCTACACGAAGGAGCTGACACTACATCCAACAATATACACATGGACGACACAAGGAAGGAAGGAATGAACAAACACAAATCGCCTAATAACCAAATAGGCTTCCATCGAAACAGAGACTAGCTAACTTAGTACCCGGCGATCCCGGAGCCCTCATGGGCGCCCTGTTTCTTGCCGCCCTTCTTCTGGCACTTGTCCTTGATCCACTGGAACCCGCTGGCCGTGCCCTCCTTCACCTTCCTGAGCCCCGTCGCCGCGGCCGCCTTGGTCTTCTCCACCCCGCCCTGCTTCTTGCCGCCGCCGCCATCCTGCCGACTGCGCGCGCGCGGGCTCGGGTCGCCGCCGTAGTCCCACTGGTCCGCCCACGACGTGCCGAACGAGTTGCTGCGCTGCATGGTCCCGATCGATCGGCTGAACCGGCGACACCGATGCAAAGACGACGATTCCCTCGAGGAAGAATGAAAGGAACCGTGTGGTGTGCTGCTGCTTTCGTACGGTTGAGGCAAGGAGCCTGGGATGCCAAGGGAATGTGGCTTTTATAGGAGCACACGCTTACCTGTGCCGAAGAACGCATCAATGACCAGATCACCGGAAGCATCGCCGCCCATGCGCGCCACGCCTGTGGAATTGAAAAGGGGGCGGACGGAGGAGTCGCGTGTCCGGATATGTCCGGAACGCGGTGGTTGTTTGGTCCGTGGGGAGCTTCAGTCCCTGGCGATACTGATACCGACTAGTGGGTCCGTTCCCAGGACTGGTCCACATGTCGGCAGCTGCCTTGCTCAGACGCGGTCGGAGTGCAAAACGGCGACCGGAGGGATTGTGTCGTGCCTGAATCAGAATGGTTTCCAGAAGTGAAGAAGTCGCGTGCCGGAACAGGTCGCCTAATCGGATTATTACTACTATAAGATCTTTGTCGGCCAAGTCTAATTTGACCTGTTAAATAGTGGCTTGCTTGATTCCACTGCTTGCTGCGAGTTCTGACACGAGTAATCATATACTACTTTTAGCGGCCAATTTGGTGAACCAGGCCAAGCATCGTCAAAAGCAACGCGTTAGTGGTTCCACAGCAAATTACGTCGGAGCTTACGTGGAGATAATGCACAGTGACGATTTTTGCTCCGTGATTAAAATATCTGTACGCGTTAGTGGTTCCTCTTTCGTCAGTGCTTATAACTACTCCATAGCGTGTTTGTGAATTGGTATACAAGACATTGACTCTAATTAATCCGTTCATGGACGAAATGGGATACGGATGATCTGACGGAGGATAGAAGCTCCTGACGACTCTTGGACCAAGGCAGACTCCGGCGCCGCCATACGAACTCCGGGCTGTACCCGGAAAGAATGCCGCTCCACGTGTCCACAACTTGTTGTAATACAGACCATGTTCGTTTTTCTTATAATCTATATTTTATATTTTTAGCTTGTTTTTTTAGCCGGAACAGTGTTTTTCTCTCACAACAAATCAGCCAGAACAGTATTTCGGCTTGTTTTTTCAGCGAAACGAACAGGGCCATATCCTTCTGTGATCTATAGTATTATATTATTCTGTAAGTGGACTCCATCACGACCCGGAATTTAGGAGGGTCTCAGCAAGAGAGTTCACTCCACCCGATCAGATGCCAAGACATCGATCTAGACCATGTGCTAGCCTCCTTTGCAGGGACAAGAGAATCCTTCCCGTGCCGCTACTTGGGACAGCAGCTCCATACAAGATCCCTGCAGAAGGTCCATGTGCAACTGCTCATTAAACGCATAGGGCAGAGGCTACCTGGTTGGAACTCAACAGAGCGGGCAGACATACTTTGGTCACCTCAGTGCTATCCTCGATGCCTACCTATCACCTCACCGTGTTCCCTCTAGCAAATGGGCAAGAAAGCAAATTGACAAAATCAGAAGATCATTCTTGTGGAAAGGTGATGAGAACGCTAACGGAGGGCATTGCTTGAGAACGCCAACAGAGGGCATTGCTTGGTAAATTGATTGACGGTCTGCATGCCAAAAGATTTGGGAAGGTTGGGGGTGCCAAACTTGGAAAATTTTGGAAGAGCTTTGCGCCTATGTTGGTTGTGGCAGGAGTGAATTCATGACTCAAAACCTTAGGTAGGGACGACACTACCGTGCAATGACCTAGACCGTTTCCTATTGAACGCCTCAACAACGATAACAATTGGGAATGGTAACAAGGCACGTTTCTGGCATCACAATTGGCTAGACGGTGAAGCTCCAAGATACCTAGCGCCCCATCTTTTCGAGCTAGTGAGCCGGAAGAACAGGACGGTTTGCCAGGAACTACAAAAATGGTAATTGGATCCGCTCCCTCAGGACGAAAATCACAACATCCGTTCAAATACAAGAATTCGTCGCCCTCTGGTTCAGGATTCAGGAAGTGCAGCTCACATCCGATGTGCAGGACTCCATAGTTTGGAGATGGACAGCTAATGGAAACTACTCCACACGTTCGCCATATAACATACAGTTCCAAGGTTCACACTGCAAGTTCCATGCTGATCTCATTTGGAAAGCAAGGGCGGAAAAAATGCAAGATACATGCCTGGTTACTAATGCATGACAAAATCCTCACGGCAGATAACTTGCAAAAGAGAGGGTGGCCACATCATGAGCATTGCGTCTTGTGCAATGGACCTTTGGAAACAGGATTGCATCTATCTTTGCTATGCCCCTTTGCTAAATCCGTCTGGAGCCAGGTGTTATCTCGGGGAAACTTTGATGTGCAACTGCCCCCAACAAGATCCCCAGTGCCTAGCCACTTGGTGGGAGGATATGGGGAGCAAGGTGCCAAAGTAAAAATGTTGAACATTTAATGGAAGTGTTCATTTACGTTGTGTGGAACCTATGAAAAGAAAGGAATAGGAGAATTTTTGAAAATAGACACAAAACGTCGGAACAGATCTCCTATCTGACCAAGGAAGATATTGTTCAGAGGTGTAAGGGCATGTGTAGTGCGGTGTGTGTTGGCTCTATGGCCGGTGTTTTAGTTGGTCTTTTTTTTTGGCACCATGGGTGCCTGTACACGAAACTCTATTTTTTTTCTTAATTGAGGGGTAGAACTCCTGCCATTACTTTAAAAAAAATATTCTGTAATAGTAATCATAGTATGTACACAAGAATCTATTCAAGAATCAACTAATCGAGCAAGAAATCGATGTAACGACGGACGTGGCATCCCCAAAAATGACATGCACTAGAGGTCTACGGCACTGTGACTAGGAGCAGGCCAACTGCCGCAACTACTACGACGAAGACTCTATCCGGTTGGCATCCCGCGCCGGCGCTACTGTCCATCTCGCGGCTGCTCGTCGCCGGCGACGTCGGCGTGAAGTTTGGGTTGCTCCCGTACAGGCTCTGTATCCCCTGGACGTCGTCGGCCTCCAGCTCCACCTTCCTCGTCCCCGTCCGGATCGTCGGGTACATGATGGCGTCGGGCACCGAGGAGTGGCCGAGCCCCAGGAGGTGGCCGATCTCGTGCACCGCCACGGACTCCAGGTCCACCGCCCCGGTAGTTGACGAGCGCGACACGTCGCTGCCAGCCACCCACGCCTCCGCGGCGTCGAGGTGGAACCGGCCGTCCGTGGGCGAGAAGGCGTGCGCGAGCGTGCCCAGGGGCCCGTCGAACGGCTCGCCGTCGCCGTGCGATCCGGCGTAGAAGCCGATGGTGATGTCGGCGTCGGACTCCGACGCGGTCTCCGCGAACCGCAGGTTGGTGGCGGCGGCCCACCGGGAGAAGGCGCGCGCGAAGACGTCGCTCAGCGTGGACCGGTCGATGGACGTCTCCGACGTCGCGGTGATCGCGTACCTGAGGTCCCGACGGAACGGCGGCCACGTCGGCTCGCCGGGGAAGTAGGCGTACAGGTGCCTTCCGTGGTTGTCCGCAGAGGAGCTCCTCGCCATGGTGGACGTGCCGTTGATGACGTCGGCCACGCCGCAGCGAGGGGCGACCATCTGCGAGACGGTGGACGGGTCCAGCGCGCCGGTGGCGTTGAGCCCGAAGTTGCGCTGGTACGTCGCGATAGCCGCCTCCAGGTCCTGGTCGAACGCGTCGCTGAACGGGGACGACGACGGCGGCGGCGGGAGGTAGCCGAAGTGGCTGAGGTAGTCCTTGAGCCCGGCCAGGCCCTGCCGCTCCTCGCCCATGTGACAGCCAGAGAGGTTCTGAAACGCCGCCCACGGGTTCGGGAACGATGGCGCACCAGGCGGCAAGCCGGACGGGAAGGCCGACGCCGGCAACGCGACCGCGACCGCGACCGCGAACGCCATCACCGCCACGACGGCGGCAGCTTGCGATACACCCATCATCAGAAACCAGAGGAACGCGCAGAGAGAGAACACGCAGCAAGCCGAGCTGTCACGTAAGCTTTAAGGCTCGCTACCCGATATGTCACGGGCAGCGTGGTCAGCCGGCCGGCAGGTACGCGCAGCCGGGTCCGGGTGGCTCTGTTCGAGTCGGGACGTCGCAGCTCTGTGCGTGTGGTTTGGTGAGTTCCCTTTGGTCAAGGCGAGAGAGGATGTGGCCTTGTGTCCGTTGCGAGTTGCTGTCGTACCACGGCTGTGATCGGCGTGAAGTGACGGGTTCAGAATTGAAAAAACTGCGTTTTGCGTTTGAACATTGCTCACCGTAACCGGCCAGAGAAGCTTCCGCTTGACTGGTTTCCGGCGAGCTGCTCGATTGGTTCAAGAACGGAGAAGAGTCGTGGGCTGCCAAGCCCGGCTCCGGGTAACATTTCTTTTAAGCGTAACCAAAAGCGAGAGGAACAAGAGTACAGAGAACCACACGCCTCTGAATATCTGAAAGTCTGAATCAATACAAGGGGAGGTATGCCACGCTCAACAAAAGCAGTCCTTCGACCTCCCAAAAGAAATGCGGGTAGAAGCGCATCCGACCGCCTGATTCAGCTGAACCGTATGGAGTATGGACGCGTGAGAAAAAAGAATAACTCTTCCGTACTTGATTTGTGCACAAACGACATTTCCTGAATTCCCAATGCTGCGACTTTTCAACGCGAAGGATGATGGCGAAGCCAGTGGTGGACATAACGGAGAGGGGTCGTAGGCTGCTCAAGAAGCCAAGCCCGGTGTCCGCGTAACATTTTACTAGTATGTAGCGGGGTGTGAGTTTTAGTATATGAATGAAGGACGTCATTACTTACAACTGCAACCAAAAGCAATAGGAACAAGAGGCGAGAGAACATACGTCTCTGAATTCTGACGGTCTGAATCAGCAACTTGCCAATCAGGACGGATCAGCATAAGTAGTATCAGCGTAAGCCAAATTTCAGCGAAACGAACAATATCTAATTGTCTTCTAGTTCTGACGGTCTGAATCAGCAATTCTTCAACACCCCAAAAGAAATGCAGTTACAACTTACAACTAGCACCGCCTGATTCAGCTTGAGCCCTATGGACGCATGAGAAAAGAACAACTCTTCTGTACTTTTTTCTTTTTGTGCAAAGGACATTTCTTGAATTCCGATGTCTGCGACTTTTTTAAGTTCTCAATGTCTGCGACTTTTCAACGCGAGCTGCACATATCCTGTTGTAACGGTTAGCGAAATGATCAAAGCAACTGACTCGTGTCTGTTTCAGACTCTCAGCTTTCAGCAGTTGGAGAATATCTGGCCGTCGTTCGGCAGGCCTCACCAGTTGGAGAATATCCAGGAGGGGCTCAGAGTTCAGACTACGTCAGACTTCGGGTTGACATTGCACTATTGCAGCAACAAATCCCGAATTGCCAATTTGGAATGGCGTCGGCATACAGTTCTTCTGGCCCAACATTTATTGGGCCTTCTGGGATGATATCATGCTGGGCCTCCTTTGTTAAGGCCTGCCTCCTTTGCTGGGCCTAAAGGACATGGGCACTAGGCCGACACGTGACACATCATGACACATCAGCTGCAGCTGGATCTGTCAATTAGCAGATGACTAGCTCAAGAAAAAGAAAAGAAAAAAGAAAAGAAAAGCAGATGACTGTTCTTGAGCAGAGCGCGCACCCGCGAAATGGCGATTAGAATATGTCACTCTCCAGCCTCATACAAATGCTAACGACAAGCCTATTGACCGAGCAAGTGGTCTGACTTTATGGGCTAGAATCTCACAGCTCCACTACAATGAAAAAAGCCATCTCCAGTCGACAAGACGCTTCGACTTGCTTTGCGGCCATCGCCTGAAACTCTGAATGAATTTTCACGAGCTTAAGACACATGAGAAACCAAAGTTTTTTGCTTGGCTTACATTACATGTGGAGAAAACCTAGCTTTACTCGTAAGCATCATCTAGAAGCTGCAGGGGAACAGGGTACTTATCACCTTGTCAGCTTGAGCCCCACACAATAATGCATAGGGACTTCCAATTCGAGTTGGAAGATAGATGGTCCAAGGCCGTCCTCCTCTAGCCTGTCTAGAAGTAGATGTGATCACAGTTACAACGACAAAGGTGGCTTGTCCTGTACTCATGCTAAACTATCTGCTTGTCTCGTCATGCTCCCGAGCTGATTTGGTTTCCGGCGATCCATTGAACACCGGACGCGAGTCCACCACTCGCGTTGCTGTTGTCCTGTTGATGCAATCGGCATATATATATCCTTCGCTTAATTACACCGTCCTTGACGAAGAATATAATCAATTAATAGCCTTGCATACCACCATGTGTTTCCAAAGCCTGAATTGTTGTCATCGCTGCTTGTGATCACAGCAAACACAGTACATCTTGTGACAAATCCCTCTCGGTTTCACTGAGAGCAGATATCGCAACGGACGAATAATGTGTGTACGAGGAGCATCGCAGGGAGATCGGAGACAGCAACTTGGGAACAGTCCCGGGATGGACTTTTGTGAGACAGTGTGGGACAGTACATTGTCCTGTGATTCGTTTTTTTTAAGGGCCTGTTTAGTTGGCAAATTTTTTTTGGTTTTGGGTACTGTAGCATTTTCGTTTGTATTTGGTAATTAGTGTCTAATTATGGACTAATTAGGTTCGAAAGTTTCGTCTCGCGATTTCTCAACCAACTGTGTAATTAGTTTTTTTTTCTTCTACATTTAGTACTCCATGCATGTGCCGCAAGATTCGATGTGATGGATACTGCGCAAAAAAAATTGGCTTTTGGGTGGAACTAAACAGGCCCTAAATGTCCAGTGATTCATTCCATGATGCCTACTGGCTACTGGCAGTGGTTCCAGTCGGGTGCAGTGTACAGGTGGGGCCTTGTTTAGATGATGGTTAGGAATCAGTATTTGGCACTGTAGCATTTTCGTTTGTATTTGACAATTATTGTCTAATTATGGCCTAACTAGGCTCAAAAGATTCGTCTCGTAATTTACAATCAAACGGTGTAATTAGTTATTTTTTTATCTACATTTAATACTCCGTACATATGTTCAAAGATTTGATGTGATGGAGAGAGAGCGAAAAAACTTGGAATCTAAACGAGGCCTGGATATTGCAATCGCGAAAACCACGTTGGTACCACGCTGTTCTTTACCATATTTCAGGTTTTCATTTTTTTTTTCAGTTGTGCAAGACAGCAAGAGAAGAATGACAGTCCTCCTATATCGATCTTCGTCTAAGGTTCCTTTTTGGAGCTAGTATGCATACCCCCATGCCGGAAGAGATCGATGGCAACGAGATGGAGGAGCCATGGGGGCCATGCTATCATTACAAGATCACCATTGTGTAGAAGAGAATTAATGCATATTGCTTGCAAGTAGGCAAAAAGTGAATCTGCTAGGGCTCCGGAAATGGTATGTAGGGCAACGCAACGCAAATGCTGGTGGTAGTTAACATCGGTTATCCATTGATCCCCGCACGCGGCACTTAGTCTTCGACGCTATTCTGTCTTTGACGACAACGCGTGGAAAAGAACACAGACCGCTTTAGAATTTTAACTGAACAGCTGAACTATCCACGGAAGGATCAAGGAAGCTTATGATTTTACTTTTGACCGGTGGTAGCTAAATTCTAGTTATCTGATACAGACACTTTACCAATGCGAGATTTTGCTGTCACGATCTGGATCACTCTCGTCTGTCGCTTCTCCCTTTAAGCGGGGCAAGTTGGTTGCTGTGCCGCGCGATGGGGCCGCCGGCGCCGGGCCATGTTCTTCTTCAGGTCCAAGTTGCAGTTGCAGGTGTGCGAATAAAGGAAATCTTATGCAGCTTTCTGGATCAGAGCCACTACCGCGCTTACAATAAAACAAAGCCGCTGCCTTTTTGGCTCATTAGATTCTTCATCAGTTCCATGAATTCCGCCAGTGAGCAGGAGCTAAGCCAAATCCGGCACGAGCCTGCAGAAGCTATGCTCTCTCAGGCCGTGTCGCTCTCGTCGCAACCAAGCCTTCCTTCCCTGCCATCGTTAGGTCCCCGCGACCTAAACGTCAGCCCTTGCCACCACCAGTGCGTGGCCACCCTCAGAGACCACTCCTCCTACGTCTCGGCTCTCGCCCTCGACGGCCACTCGCTGTACAGCGCCTCGTCGGACGGCCGCATCAGGGTGTGGCCATTGGGCGACGCGAGCGGAAGGCAGGAACAGCAACGGGATGACGACGACGGTTGCAGGGCCACGGTCGTTGCCGCGTGCGACAGCTCCGTGAAGTGTCTTCTCGCCACGGGCAGCAACGGTCTCCTCCTCAGCTCCCACCAAGACGGCAAGATCATGGCGTGGCGGACCGGCGGAAGGAAGGACGGGACCCCGCGCCTCGTTCTGCGCGCCGTCCTGCCAACCTGCGTGGACCGGCTGCGGACGTTCCTGCTCCCGTGGAGCTACGTGCAGGTCCGGCGGCACCGGTGGCGCACCTGGGTGCACCACGTGGACGCGGTCACCGCGCTCGCGGTGTCCCCGGACGGCGCGCTCCTGTACTCGGCGTCGTGGGACCGGAGCCTCAAGGTGTGGCGGCTTCCGGGGTTCCGGTGCGTGGAGTCCATCGCACCCGCGCACGACGACGCCATCAACGCGCTGGCCGTGTCGCTCGACGGGCACGTGTACACGGGCTCCGCCGACAAGAAGATCAAGGCGTGGAGGCGCCACCCGGAGCGGAGGAACAAGCACGTGCTCGTGCAGACGATGGAGCGCCACAGGTCGGCGGTGAACGCGCTCGCTCTAGGAGCCGACGGGAAGGTGCTCTACTCCGGCGCGTGCGACCGGTCGGTGGTGGTGTGGGAGCGGGCCGACGGCGGCGCCGGGAGCATGGAGGCCACTGGCACGCTCAGAGGGCACTCCCAGGCGATCCCAGCCTGGCGGCGGCCGGGGATGTGGTGTGCAGCGGCTCCGCGGACAGGACGGTGAGGGTGTGGAGGAGGGGAGCGGAGAATACGGGGTACACTCGCCTGGCCGTCCTGGAAGGCCACGGCGCGCCTGTGAAGAGCCTAACTTTGGTGTACGGACGTGACAGCGGCTTGTTCAGCGGTTGGGGCGACCCAGAGGAGGGATCGTCCGGTGGTGGTGGCGGCGGCGGCGGCCATTGTGCTATTGTTTGCAGTGGCGCGTTGGACGGCGAGGTGAAGATTTGGAGCGTATTGTTTCCAGTTCTCTTGTAGACAGTATACTGCTGCATGAGCATGAATCATGATGCCGAATGGCTGCGTGTTTAAACATTGAAATTAGCGTTAGGGGATTTGCTACACCTGTTCATTGGAAAAAACGACATCTATTTTAAAACATTGAGTTGCATACACATACTGGCTCGACAAAAAAACTAAAACTAGCAGTGGAAGGTGAATAATTCAATTATATACTTAGTTTCAACACAAGATATATAAGTGAATTGCCCACTTGGCTACGTCTCTCCATCAACTGAAGCTTTTGAGTTGAACTATCAGTGCATGCAATTCAATATGATATTAAAGCTAGAGGTTTAGAATTCCAATCCTGGTAGGCACAATTAAATAAAATATTTGTTGACCACTCATATTCCACGTGTGAGGCCTAAGGGAGTCTCAACGTGAGGGAGAGTGTCATAGTATAAGTGAATTGCCCACCTCTCTAAACAAAGGAGTCTTAGCAGATTTTACTAAGAGTAGTAGTACATGATAAATTAGAGACATAACTGATTTATTGTCCCGTATGTGACCCAAAAACTCACGACGAATTAGAGATTAGAGTCATAATTGGTTTTATTGTCCCCTATGTGACCCAAAACCTCACAACCATAATGAATTAGATATTAGAGCCTTAATTGTTTTATTGTCCAATTCCTGATCCAATTTCACGACACACACTAATACAAGTTAGAATAGAACGTCTAAATACGGTACATAGTCTGATTCCAAAACGTATTCGAATAACTTACGTATATATTTGATAACTAATTAAATAAATATTTATTTGGTACAATATATAAATGTTAGTATTTTCCATATAAATTTGGTTAAATGTGAAATTGTTTGACTTCTCGAAAAATAAGAGTTGTATTTTTTTTTGGACGGACAGAGTAAGTCAAACTGCTCTAGTTTTGAGCAAGTTTATAAAAAAATACACCAATATCAACAGATCAAATTAGCTTCATTAAATCTAGCATGAAACACACTCCAGTAATACATTTTTTTTTTGATATTGTATATGTTAATCAATATATTTTTCAATAAGAAGATATTACTTGAAAACTGATTGCTGGTTACTAATAGGCCTAGCGATAGTGTCGACACCTTACACGAGTGATGCAGCCATGAAAGCTTGATGGCTTACATGTGCAATGCTGCCTCAAGCTTCGATGTCAACCGGTCTAAAGTTCATATTTTACTAGCATTTTAAATATATATACACATACATAAGCTATATGTTTCTAAAGTATAGGATGTAATATTTATTTATGTTTGTAGTTTTGAAGGTTTGACCAGATTCTGTGAATGTACTCCCTCCATATTCTTTTATGAGGCGCACATCATATGAAGATTCAAATTTAAAATCTTCAATCAATAGTTTAGCTAATATTTTTTAACTATTATAATACAAACTTGCTACGACTAGATTTGTAATCAAATATACTATCAAATTATCATAAGTTTATAAAAAAACTATATAAAATAAAATAAATAATTGATCAGAGTGTAATTTGGAGACCGTCCCATATCAAGTTGTGCCATGTCAACGAAAACACGGTAGTATTATTTTTGTGAAACCATACATATCTAATTGTATCACTCTCAAATTCAAACTCAATATATAAAAAACTATTTTGTAGTCGAAGTTTGCAATTAACTTAAAACAACTTCAAGACGTCACTTATTGTGATTGAATGGTGGTGGGATATTTTGCAAGAAGCTTGGTCAGCTAATGGTGATACCATTGATCGTGTTTTTTTTTTTTTGGGAAACATATCATGGATCGTGCTTGATGTGCATTTCGGACTCATGCAAGCACCAGCCAAAGCCTGGCCCAACTCTTCTGACTCTGGCAACAGGTTCCTGCCTTCCTGGGCCTAATCCAGCTGGCTGGCCTCAAACGGAGCACACTGTATGCTACCAACGCCGCAGGGGTCTCTCCTGGCCCATGATTTTCTTTCCGAGCGGGCTGTTGCTTGCGGAAAAATACAGATCTGGCTGCAGTCTTGACAACCCCACTACCTCGCCAATTGCCATGCTACAGTACAGTCATACAGATGGTCCAGCTATATCACTACATTGCAATCTCTGCATGCATGTGAGCTCATTTCAGTCTCAATCAGGAGACAAATGGAGATTCACTTAATGGTGACAGTGCGGCCCTGGAAGAACACTCTTTGCCTATCAGGACATTACAAGCCGGCATATCATTTTTTCACATCAAATGTCACTCATACCTGGATGCTTGATGATACTTGCGCGTTTAAATGCAGAGGCATTCTGTTTTGGCGACTTCGCGTTGTGTTCTTCCACAGAGATAGCAGATATGCATTTTCGTCCAGGATATTTAAAAAAAAAAAAACATATCACCCAGGAAGATTTTACCATCTCAAATACCCACCGTGCCAATCCCCATGTGCGTGCATATCCAGTGGCCTACAGAGTAGCCTGAAATCCTATGGAGTTGGATTCGTCTGTTGCTGCCCTTGCCAGCCACCACTGCGCTGTGCAAGCTCATTGGAGCGTTTGTTTTATCCCATTTGCCATACAAATCAGCCATACAAATCAGCCCACTTTTCCTTCTCTGGGAGTTTAACTGTTAACCGCCCTTTTGTAAGTCATGTTCGTTTGTAATGTTGAACATGGTGTCAGTGAAAGAAGCAGAGCGCGCAGTTCAGATACAGTTGCTTTAGACATTTGAGCACGAGCAGACATTCAGCCTTTAACCCCTTTCCTTCCACAGAAAAGGACAAGTAAAATTAGTTTTGTTTTGGAAGGGAAGAAAGGCATAGTGAACTAAGTGTAGCTCATTTAGTTAGATTATTTATTATAGTAGAACCTGTCCTTGGATTCGAGTCCCTCACTCAGCACGATAGGGTGTTCATATTCTTTTGATTTATTTCAGGATTAGTGACACTATTCTTTTCAGTGGTAGATGAAATGTCAATCAAATGCTTAAGATTTTAAGATTTAGGAGGGCTTGTAGTATCAGGCCGTCGATTTCGGTCACCTCTGGCTGTTAGGATTGATGCCTGGCGGGTGACTACTCGCGCTCTTGAAAAGTGCTCAATGGGGTAAGATATGTGTACGTGCATCGCAAGAGTGAATGCGTGGCTATGTGCATATATACATACATGAGAGTGTGTTTAAACATCGTACATGGTGCAATAAATTATTTGAAGCTAATTCCACTAATCCTGACAAAAGAGTCGAAGTACTATATTTAGAAAATCCATAATCTCCTAGAAGTGTTTTGATTTTAGATTCTTTTCAAGAAGCGTTTAGGACGATGAATCGGAATCACTTTATAAAAACATTTTACTAGTTAACTAGATTTTTGATCCATGAGAAAATATAAATTTCTTAAAAATAAAAATAAAAATATATTTAAAAATTCATTTTTTGTGGGCAAGTAGCAACTTAAATACAACCCATATTAACTTGGTGCACATCTGAAGAAAACATAATTGTTAGCAAAGGCGTAGATAGAGAAACAAAAGTGATTCTCTTGCCAAATCAGTCTTTTGCTGTTTGAATCCAACAATGTAAAAACCATAAATGTTTCAAAATAATTCTAGTAGGAGCGTTTCTTCGAGTCCACCGTTTGGAATCGATTCTTGTGTTCTAGACTAAAACCAAAACGTTTGAACACGTCCTAAGATTTAAACGAGTTTATATAAGGTATACATGTATTTACTTTCTTTCTTTTAAATAAAACAATAAAAAAAGTTGTTATATCTACCAAGGAAAACAATAATACGTACAAAAGACCAAGACCAAAGGTGCATGCTCACACACCCATTTGACTTGTACTCCGTACAGTTTAACGGTTAAACCTCTGGGGGCGGCAAAGACGGCGACGCGGTAACCGGCAGTCCGGTACACAGGCACAGTACTGCTCGAGCGGAGCACCGCACCGTCACTGTCGTTTGGGCCCACTTGTCGGAACCCTAATTTAATTCGTCCGTCTCTCTCGTTCGCGTCTCCCTCCCTCGTGCCCCCACCCATCTCGTCGGTCTCCTCGCTCCTCTTTCTCCCCCGCCTCGCCACCCCGAATTAGAAGGAGCTCCGAATCTACCGGGCCGAGCTCGCCTGCTGGCCTCCCCGAGGGCGAAGCCCCTATCGGCTGCCGCTCCCCGTTGACAGGAGCTCAAGCCCCGCCGCCGCCGCGGCTGCGGCGGGTGGACGTGACCGGAGCTCCTCGCCGCCGCTGATAAGATCCGAAGGGTTCCTAAGCTTTTTGTGGCGGGAGGCAACTGGTTCCGTCGGGTGGCCCGGTGAGCATGGCGGGGCCCAAGTTTGGGTCGTTCAAGGCGGAAAAGGGGGATTCAGCGGCGGCTGCCGGCGCGGCGGCGCAGAGGAGGGACCCATACGAGGTGCTCGGGGTGGGGCGTAATGCTACTGAGCAGGAGATCAAGAGCGCCTTCCGCCGCATGGCACTCAAGTAAGTATTGTCTGCAATGCTCTTGGATTCGGTACTTCGCGTGCTCTTATTTTATTTTGCTCAGAGGGAAGGACTGTGTTCAAATTATTTTGTAGATTAGTTCGCATTTTGTGCTTATTTTGTTCCAAGTATTAGTAGCTGTATATCGTTTGCTTATCTTGAATAAATTCCTCTCCTTTTGGAACCACATAAAGACCAGTATTAGGTAGCTTCTGAATCATGCATTATATTGGAACGAAAAACAAGGCTCTGTCTTGCAAAGAAAAAAAAACAAGGCTCAGTTTAGACTGTTTAGCTATCTCGTTTATTGATAAATTGATGGAGACAGTACAGCTGTTTGAGTATTTATATATCTGGTAAAAATTGTCCTGCAGGTACCATCCAGATAAGAATTCAGACGACCCTGTTGCCTCAGAGAAGTTTCAAGAAGCCACATTCTCCTATAACATCCTGTCAGATCCAGATAAGAGGCGCCAGTATGATGCATCAGGGTTTGAGGTGATTGATGACATGGTTGAGCAGTTTGAGCTGACTGTTTTTTCATGTGACTAATGCTTTTGTTACTGTTCAGGCCATTGAAGCAGATAGTCAGGAACTGGAGCTGGACCTATCAAGTCTCAATACTGTAAATACAGTGTTTGCTGCTCTGTTTAGGTAGCTTAAAGATGATATATCTGCTATTCTGCTTTACTCGATATTATTTGCCTCATTATGTAATGTAATATATTTGTGCAGCAAACTAGGTGTACCAATCAAGACCACTGTCTCGGCAACAGTTTTAGAGGAGGCATTGAATGGATCAGTAGAGATTTCTCAGCTTCAGCTGGGCAAATCTCTATGTAGGAAGGTTGGCAACTGCTTCTTTTTTGTTCTTTATCTGTTCATTTTTTCTTACCAGTGAGTAAACTTTGGTATTTATACACATGTTGGCAGGTAGAAAAGCAGTCAGCTCACTTTTATTCTGTGGACATAACAGATAAAGAAGCCAAAATGGGCTTAGTTTGTAGAGTTCATTCAACTTCTAAAAGTAAATTTAAGGTTTGTTGCCAACTTACTATTCATCCATCTTCTATGACCGTTTGACCATATAACTCCTATGTTACATCAGTTATTGTGTTTCAGTTCTAAATGTCACATTCCACTAATAAATGTTGTCCTTTTTTTTTGTACAGAACTGACCATGTAACTTGATTATGTTAGTTAACTGATAAACATCGTCTTCTTTTAATTGTAGTGTTCCATAAGCAACCTATTTTGTTCTTATTTACTGAATATAAGTCTACCTTTTTAGTGGAAAATATTATTTCACTTCCATTGTTATTAAATTACGATATTTGATAAATGATCAGCTGATTCTCTTTAGTTGTTGATCTTGTCTTGGCGTAGAACGTTTAAATAAACCAAGCACTCGATATATTGTGTAATTGCAGCAAAACAAGTTTGTTGACACTTCTCTTTTCAGCTGTTGTATTTTTTGAGCTTGAGGGACAATGGTGGATTAAGCCTTGCTTTACAGGTATGCATGTGTGTAGCCAGCTTATCATTTTGTTAGTACAGATGAAAAAAGACAAAGTTCTATTGGTTACTGGCTTATGACCTGCCATTCTGCCAAGCATATGACGCAAAAAATGTGAAAACAAATATTTTCGTGCCAAGTTTAGATCTTGTTGATTTGGCAACCTTGGAGGCACAGCCAAGTAGCTACAGCCACTGACTGCCATAACTGTAGTATGTTAGTATCAATAATGCTTTGTTTATCACTGTAGATGTATTTGGCATCTGTTTATTCTAAAATATAGCTGATGTGGTATTGTGGTTGAAGCAAGTCCCTCAACATGATTTATGACAGTTCAGTAATATACTAATATCGTTGGCTGGGAAATTTCTCATCCTGACATTATAAGTTAATTTTGTGTTTTTTTAGCTCAATCTCACAAGATAAGTGTTCAATTGGATAACCTGTAGGAAATATTTCTGTGGTATATATAAATCTGAATATGTTCCTTAGCATTATGTACAATCCATCTAGAAGCCTTTATTGGTCCAGAAATATTACCAAGGGTCTCAAGCGTACACTTTATCCTGCAGAGTCTCCCACAGTCCCACTCTCCCAGGGGATGAACTGTGTGTACCTTGACTTCATTATTAAATGTTCTGTTATCCATCTAGAAGCTTTTTTTTTTCTCGAAAGCATGGAGAGCTGCAGTTCATATATATTAAGAAGAAAATCCATATAGAAGCTTTTAACTATAAATTTATCAGATCACTGAGATGGGCAAATGGCTGCTATCACACCACTTCTCTCCATATTGAACAGTTAAGTAATTAGCTTAAGGAATCTGATTGTGAGCACACCTGAGCTGTTGTGAGATGCTGTCACAAAGGAAAAGGAAGTAATATCTGGCCCATCAATTCTTGATGCTGTGAGAGGATGTTACTTCCCTTGGTAATAAAGCCAGTTCTTATTGAGAGAGATCACGAGTTGCCTATGTATTTAGGGAGACTGTAGGAGTGTAGATGGGGTAGGAAACATATCAATCTACTGCCCTTGAATTAATCTAGTGCAGTATTGATTCAGATATCATGTCTAGGGAACCAACCCAAGTAACTCAGTTGAGCCATTTTTGGTAAAGGGAACACAGAAACTATACAGATAGTATGTCATGGATGCACATTGGGCATCACACAAAGAGAATAAAACAGATGCATCATTTAGAAAGAGCATCATAGTTACTAACTTATTTCTGAAGTTATTGCCTTGTTTGTATTAAAGTATGCTGCTTGACAATGTTCTTCTATCCATAAGGGATTTTGTGATCTTACCATGTTGTCTGAGCATGATTTCAGCTAACGTCTATTAGCCTAGTGCAGGAAGATAGTGCAAAAACTGGAAAAAGTTACTTCTGCAGGGATGTTCTTTCTAGGCTTTCTGTGTATCGATTTGAACAAAATAATTCAGTGAGTATACAAATTAATGCCATTTGGCCTCTTTTTGTTTTTCTTTGTGTGTTTATTTTTACAAGCTCCCTATTACTACTAGGCTGCTGCTGCGAAGGATCCTGACAGTGCTTTCTTTAAAAGATTGGATGGCTTTCAACCTTGTGAAGTAAATGAACTGAAAGCAGGAACCCATTATTTTGCTGTATATGGTAATATCATTTTCTGTTGTACCATATCTAGGCATTTGTGACTATATTACAATTTACTGAAAATCAATCACTTTTCAGGTGACAATTTCTTCAAAAGTCTGAGCTATACTATTGAGATTGTATGTGCGGAACCCTTCTCTGATCAAAAGGAGAAGCTACTGAGCGTGGAGGCAAAGATAATTGCAAAACGATCTGAGCTGTCTAAATTTGAGTCTGAGTATCGGGGAGGTATGCAGTTTCCTTTGGCATATTTTATTTATGCAGGTTCTCCATCTATCATAAAGATTTAATGCTAAAACACATCACTAAATTGGAAGGTTTTGGCAAAGTTCACTGAGATGACTAGCAGATATGCTCAGGAAATGCAAACGGTATGTGCATTCATTAAACTGGCATTTATGCTTCTCACTGTGGTCTGAACTTTCTATGTTTTCATGATAGATTGATGAGCTTCTAAAGGAAAGGAATGCAATTCATGCATCCTATACAACAACCCAACTCTGCAGCGGAGTTCAGTAGCAGCAAAGAAATCACCCTCTAAAGGGTCCAAAGTGAGGATGACCAAACTGTAAAGAAGGAAAAGAAATCGAAGAGCCAGCCAATGGAGGATCCAAAAGTGATGACGAGGTCCCAAAATAAAAAGGAAAAAAAGCCTAAACATCAGTTCGAAGGAAGAAGTGGTTCAATATTCATTTGAAAGTGGACAAGAGAAGGCCCTGCTGATAACTGCAATGTACCATGTAACTTTATTTTTTGGTGGGTGGGTGGGGGGTTCGGAAGATCTATCTCTCAGTATTCACTTGTTCTTCTGTTCTTAATTTTTTTGGTGTTCCCTAGATCTCTGCTCCAAGCAAAAGGAAGGAATTCCATTTGACGTCAGGAAGATGCAGCATTTCATTTGTCGATGATTCCCATGATCATATTCATACCATTTTGTTTCCTGAAAAGTCAGGAACCTCGCCAGTTCAGAAATGGTGTAAAGAAATGTACCATGTAGTTTTGGGACCCTAGTCGGATACTGTTGTATTTATCTCAAGTTGGACAGTTAATGATGAATGTACAATAGGGATCTTAGTAGTGTGCTGTCCAGAATGGCAGAATCAATTCAGATTTGTTCAATTTGTTTGATGATGTCTGTGTTGACATTACTGTCAACTTGGCTCTGAACCATCCGATCTAAAACTACTGATCCTGTATTCCATGAGGCAGTCTAGCAATGTACGACGCTGGTTGAAACCTGTGCGTCGTGCTTCATCAGAAGGAACAAGGTTTTGATGATTCGTGCTGTTTCAAACACCGAATGAACACATTGTTGTACAACTCTACATATTAGGAAACCATTTGAACCAGTATGCTCCCTGGTTGTGTGAGCTTGGTATTCTCTCAGGCTAGTCACAAATTCAGGTATCGCATGATGAAGTGAGAGAATTTGTACCCCTCCCTTAGTTGAGAATGATTCGTTTATCCGGTGTGCTGTGCCGTAGACCAAACCGCGCTTTCATGGTGTGCTGGAGACAAAATCAACTCTGACCATGTGTTCACACAAAATCAAGCTTTAGCACATCCACGGACAAATTGTCCAACAAAGAATGTTGGCTTCCTTTCCCTTCTAGCATTAGATACAGATACAGGTCCATAGTTGGTCTGTAATTGTGATAGGCGTAATTTCCTGGTAAAGTCAGTGCTGGATTAAGTGAAACTGATAGTTAGACTGATGTTTTCCGATCGATTTTGTTCAGGGTTGCCTTAAGGCCCTCCACAGTGTGCAATCGATGCCCAAAATGAATGGGTTTCACGGTGATCAAATGGGCATCGGACTGTGAAGCTGCAATGTTTGAGAAAGTTGGCACCAAAGCCATTGTTAGTATATGTGGGGACTGCAAGAAAATAAAATAACTCCATCTTCTGAATCTTATGTTTGGAGCAACAAAGACTAGCAATAGTTTCGGACCTAAATATCTTTTAAGATTCGGCACCAGGTACCTCTATTTGCTTCGCTCCTGGTTTTGCTGGCACCACTCCGAATTAGCATCGCTGGTTACAGTGTGTTTGAAGTGATGCCTCAATTTTCTCACTCCTCTTTGAGCATCCTCCGAACACACTATGGAGGCCTCATGAGCGAAGTTGTATTAAATTTTTAGTGGGTCGTTCATGTAAGTTATCTTGTCTTTGCACCCTAATAGTGTGATTTTCTGATCCTCGTTTTTAAACTAGGAATTACACCTATTTTTATATTTCTTTTCTAATAAACCTGCTAAAAGATCCGACGATTCAAATTTGTACGGCTTCCCCACTTCCCAGGCACAACACAAATCGATAGCATTTGGCATTTGCTAAATGTAGTAACGACCACCAGGACGAGAGACACGCGTTACAAGCAGCACAGCGACCGTTTTCCACCTTTTACAACTCCTGTTCTTCGGTTGTGTCACATAAACCTCTCCCGCCACTCCCCCGCCTCCATTCGCCCCCTCCATTGCCTGCCAAGAACAGGCGCTCCTCGTATTTCTTGGACCTGCACACCCACGCTTCCAAAGTTAGGAGGGAACCATCAGCTAAGAGCTATCCATATGCACAGCGATGCACCAGCACGAGATACCAGCCATCATGCGCTCTGTCCCTCCTCCTCCTCCTCATGGCCCGCCCTCTCGAGCGCCGCACCGCAGAGCGCAGCTGCACCGGCGCCGGCAGGCGGCACCGTGGGCGCTCTGAAGCCGGACTTCTACAGCCAGATCGTGCCGCGCGCCGCGGACCGTCATCGCGGAGGTGATGCAGACGAAGCAGTGGCGAACCCGACGACGGCCGCGGGCGTGCTCCGCGTCTTCTTCACGACTGCTTCGTCAGCGGGTGCAGATTAGCGTCGGTGCTGATCGCGTCCACCCAGTTCCAGAAGTCGGAGCACGATGCGGAGATCAACCACTCCTCCCGGGGACGCCTTCGACGCCGTATGGTGCGCGCCAAGCTGGCCCTGGAGCCGGGAGTGCCGCTGGCGTCGGGCGTGCTGTCCGGCGCCGACATCTGGGGCGCAAGGACTCGCTGTCGTCGTTACGCCCGCTGATCACCATCGACCGGCGGC